GGGGCCAGTGGGGGGAATCGAACCTAAGACCTGGGCTGGGGACAAGACATGTCCCAGTGACCTCGGGCCGGGGTCCCGACTTCACGTGGGGACAGGGGTAGGTGTGGGAATCGAACGTGAAACCAGGGACAGGGGACCCGACCGGACCTGGGGTAAGGGGCTGGAGTGGGGAATCGAACCTGGGACCCGGGGCCGGGATCCGGACCCGACCCATGGAGGAGGGGTGGGTGTGGGGAAATTAACCTATGACCTATCCAGAGGTCCCAACTCAACACGGGGACCAGGGCCAATGTACAAGTAGAACCTGCGGCCCGGGGCTGGGATCCCGACCCTACCCAGGGACCAGGGTCCGGTGTGGGGAATCAAACCTGTGACCCGACCCAGGGACTGAACCGACCCGGGGACCAGAGGCCAGAGTGGGGAAATCGAATCTGGGACCGGGGCCGTGGACCCAACTCGACCCGGGTTGCAGGGTCCAATGTGGGGAATCGAACCTGGGACCCTGGCCAGGGACAAGACATGTCCCAGTGACCTCAGACCGGGGTCCTGACGTGACCCTGGGGCCAGGGGCAGGTGTGGGAATCGAACGTGATACCAGGGACAGGGGACCCGACCAGACCTGGGGTAAGGGGCAGGTGTGGGGATTGGAACCTGGGCCCCGTTCCTGGGCCCCCAAGAGACTCAGGCTCCCTTCTCTGTTGAGTTTGGTGCTGCCTAGCCTTAACATTTTCAGTACTCAGTAGCATCCCCCAGGCTCTTGTATTTTGAGAGGGATTGCACTCCCCTTACATCATATGGGAATCCCATTTTTCTGTCTCAAGAGTGAATGTTGTAAGACACTTGTAAATCATTGCAGATTGTCGTTGTTGTCCATTGCCATGTAAATTAAGGCCATGTGGGTACCTTCTACTGTTTCTTTTTTCCTTTCGTTTGTTGTCTGTGTGATAAACGTTCATCTGATTTGTGTCAGTATGGAACAGTGCTAGGGCTGCATGGTATGATGAATGTGACCTTCTGTCTTACATACCCTTGTATAACTACAAGTCTAAGAAAAACAGAATGGTTAATGTATATAGTTCTTGTACCTTGCAAAGGAATTCGTGTCACTAGAGAGCAGTTCTGTCTGTCTCTGGGTCCTGCACTGGCAATTTAATTCTTCCACAGTTGTGGTTTCTTCCCTTTCCTCCCAGTGTCCCTGTCTCCCCCTCATTATAGTCAAATTATCAAATCTTCAGAAATATTCCTCAAATCCATGAGCCTATTTGCTTTTGTTATTCCGAACTCTTATTCCGAACTCTTATTCCTAACAGTTACAGCCTTTTTGCCTTCTTTGTGGTTGATTTAGCACTGCTATAGGTGTGACTGGAGCGTCCCTGTGAATGGCCTGTGAGGAATGTTTTAACTACTCGTGAAGTGTCAATAAGAGAGCTATTTGTGTTTATATGTTCTTTCTTTGAAGTCTCTGATGTCTGGGGGTTTCAGAACAATTGCTAATAACTAGTGACTGTTATGGCTTCTGAATGGGACACTATGCAAGCCCCTGATATCTGGCCAGGTGGCAAGGAAATTAAGGAGAAGAAAAAAAAAGCTGAAGGACGGCTAGGAGACAAAACTTGCAGGGGACACTGTGTAAGCTTTTGATATGCTGCCAAGGAGTACAAAGGGGAAGGACAAGAAAAAAACCTGAGAGGAAGACTACGAGCCTTCAGCATGAAAGACCTGCAGAGACCCCCAGGGGGGCCACCGGAGACTGATGCGCATGCTCCAGTAGGAGGGACTGGATCCCGGAAGCTAATTATAATAACCTAGTGTCTTTTAGAAGTAGTAATGAATATGTATTAGTCTAGGAGCAAAAAAATCAGCTACTTGATGTAACTGGTGTGCGTCCTGGTGGAGCAGAGACTCCCGGTGCACCCAGCGCTGTTTGCTTACCTCTATTCCTTCAATAAATTGTAAACTTTGATTATAATCCTATTTTGAAGACTGAGCCATTTATAACATCTGGTTCCTACCAAATATCACACATTTGGTGAAATGCCTTAAAACAACATTACTTTTTAATTAACAACAACTTTTTTTTTTATCTCTCTAGGTCTGCCAGTAGCTTACAGTGTAGAAAGGTGTGCTTCTCTCTCTTTCTTGGATAGAGTTAGAGGCAATGCCTGATACCCAGCCAAGATGGACAAAGGACAAGGACAAAGCCTGGGAGGAAGACTATGAGCCTTCAGCACGAGAGACTCCCAGAGGGACCACCGGGGACTGATACGCATGTGCCAGTGGGAGGGTTTGGAATCCGGGAACTAATTATAATAACCCTGCCTTCTCTAGAAGTAGTGATGAACGTGTATTAGCCTAGGAGCATAAAAAGCAGCCACCTGATGTAACGTGTGTGTGTGTTGGAGGAGCCCAGACTCCCCGCACACCCAGTGCTCTTTACTTGCCATTTATTAATCCCATAAATAAATCTCATAAAGCTAAGTTGACTCGGAATTTATAACAGTATGATGAAAACTGTTGCACTCCAAGTTGGGAAGGGGAGAGGAAAATGTTCATGTATACGTGAGAATTGTATTCAAACAGCTGATTATACCTGTGCATGCACCTTTTAAGGGAAAACTTTAAACCTGAGAAGCAACAGGCAGTGTTCTACATTTCCTGATATGATATCATGATATATGATGTAGGTATGATATCAAAGGATGATATCAGATATAGTCTATATAGTCTGCTGCAGGCTGAAAAGTAGCCTGTGCCTCAGGTACCGTTTTATGCCTTTGCTTTTGTTACTACATCCCTGTAAGTCTTCAAAAGGGAAATGAAATTATCCTACCCAGAAGAAACACCGTCCAGAAGACACTTGAGTTGTTAGGGCCTGAATTCTCACTGAAACCAAAGGCAGGGGTCTTACTGACCTGAAGAAAGAGGCTTTAATCTCTCCTGGCTTGTTTACTCCTGAAGGAGCATGAAAGAGATGCATGTCCTTGTATGTGAAGAGGAGGTGAAGGAACAGCTGGTGCAAGGAACACACAAATCCGTTGCGCCAGACTAATAGGTGGTTGGCTCTGAGTTGGGAGACTGCAGCAGAATCACGGAATCCAAGAGCACCAAGTCCAACCTCTGACCTAACACTAACAAGTCCTCCGCTAAACCATATCACTAAGCTCTACATCTACACATCTTTTAAAGACACCCAGGGATGGAGGCTCAACCACTTCCCTGGGCAGCCCATTCCAGTGCCTAACAGACCTATCAGTAAAGAAGTTCTTCCTAATATCCAACCTAAACCTACCCTGGCACAACTTCAGCCCATTTCTCCTCATCCTGTCACCAGGCATGTGGGAAAATAGACCAACTCCACGTCGCTACAGCTTCCTTTATGGTACCCGTAGAGTGCGATAAGGTCGCCCCTGAGCCTTCTCTTTTCCAGGCTGAACAATCCCAGCTCCCTCAGCTGCTCCTCGTAGGACTTGTTCTTCAGACCCATCACCAGTTTCATTGCCCTTCTCTGGACTCTCTCGAGCACCTCGATGTCCTTCTTGTAGCGAGGGGCCCAAAACTGAACACAGTACTCAAGGTGCGGCCTCACTGGAGCCAAGTACAGGGGGAAAATCACTTCTCTAGCCCTGTTGGCCACACTGCTTCTTATGCAAGCCAGGATGCCGTTGGCCTTCTTGGCCACCTGAGCACACTGCTGGCTCATATTCAGCTGACTATCCACCAATACTCCCAGGTTCTTCTCTGCCAGGCAGCTTTCTAACCACTCAGCCATCTTCAAACTTCCAGATCTAGAGGAACATGTTGGCTGCAGCCTAAATGCCACATGTACGGAAGCTCCCCCAAGCCAGCCAATCTTCTCCCCCCAACCTGCCAGAAAACAGCTGTCCTGGTTTCAGCTAGGATAGAGTTAATTTTCCTCCCAGGAGCTGGTAGGGGGCTATGTTGTGGATTAGGATGAACACGCTGATGTTTTAATCGTTGCAGAGCAGTGCTTACACCAAGCCAAGGATGTTTCAGCTTCTCGCTCTGTCCTGCCAGTGGGCAGGCTGGGGGTGCAGCAGGAGCTGGGAGGGGACAGACCCAGGACAGCTGACCCAAAGTGGCCAAAGGGGTATTCCATACCATATGGGGTCATGCTAAGCCATAGATAGGGGTGCCTAGCTGGGATGGGGGTCCGTCTGCTCGGGGATAGGCTGGGCATCGGTCAGCGGGTGGTGAGCAATTGCATTGTGCATCACTTACTAAACTGTCTCTGTCTCGACCCACAGCCTTCATTTTCCTATTTCTCTCCGCCATCCCAGAGAAGGAGAGGGGAGGGCGAGCAAACGGCTGTGTGGTGCTTAGCTGCTGGCAGGGGGAAACCACGACAACAGCAATGTAGTCATGCAACCAAATTAAAGCCAAAACTTTCAGCCCGGTCCTTGACCTGAATAGGGAGTGAGGATCCGGATCCTGGCATTTATAAGCGATAGTTTATATGCAGCCAAAGTAAATACTGCAGTCAGAGGTCATGGCGCTAGATTTCAAAAAGTCCTGCATAAAGAAGAGATCTCAGAAAAGCAAACTTAAACAACATTAATGTCAAGAAAAGTCTATCTGATTGCTATATTCTATATCTGTCGTGACTAGAGAGATAAAAATCCATGATGGCAATTTTGCCTTTTAGATAACTTTCTTTTTTCTTTTATTTATGCTTATTTATCTTATTTTAACAGGCTCTGTACTAATTTTCCTCACAGAATGACTAGCAGAAATATGACCCTTACATGCCTTTTGTAATTAATTCATTAGGTCAACTCAAACCACTAAGACCCTTGTCAGGTTGTTTCGATTAGCGATAAGGAGCAATTGAACCTAAAACATTGAAGCCAGGTCGATGAGCCTATTCCACAAGGTCTCCTGGCTCCACCCTTGTGAAGTGAAATCTGCCAGGTGGGGATCATATGACCATTGCTATATAAGAAGCATGAGGAGAGTTTGAGGTTCAGGTTATTTAGGGTGCTTTTTCTCTTGTGGTGAAGCCTGTGTTCCCCAGTAAGCTGCTTTCTCTTCATGTTTTCTACCATCTCTGTGAAATGGGTTTAAAGCCTCTATGAGCTAGCTACGTTGGCAGTGCCTTCTCAGTACAGTAAAACCCTCATGGTGCGACTTCACTGTGAAGCAGTTTGGCAGTGACTCAAGTTCAGAAGCTGGCAGGTAAGTGTTCCTGGGTTCTACAATTGTTTAATGTTGAGGAGTTTGAGTACTTCCTTCACCTTGTCTGTTTTTAGTGAAATTGGTTACCTGGGTTCTAACCTCTAATTCTAATTTTGAGAGTTTAACACTAGTGAATGTATTTCTGTGTATGAATACAAATGAAGCTTTGCCTTATTGAAAACCATGTTATTTAGTCCTATGTTAATCTTGATAAAATCTTGAAATAGCAAAAAACAACATCTTGATTTCTCAAACCATACTTATTAGTAGAGACCTTAATCACTGGCTTAATACTTATATTAATTGAGCCTTAACTTTTAAAATGAATTGTTCTCAAATGTTTTTTCACTTTGGGCTAGAATCTTTCTCTTATGTTTTAGTATAGGGAAAGCTTGATTAGGAAAACACTGATTTCAGGGCCTCCTAATAGCCCATCCTTGGGAGATCCTGATCCTTGGAAATAAGTTCTCCATGCATTATTTTTGGAGAGCTGTTGCCTGGCTGAAACAGTTTCATTAGGTATTATCTTCAAGCATACTGAACAATGACAATATACATATATTAAATGCTTTTAAAGTAGATATATCCCCCTGTGAAAATCCTCAAAACTCAGTAGTCCATGTTCATATATAAAAACCTTCAAGAGGATCCCTAGAAGACTTTAAATGCACTGATACCTTCATGCGCTAAAAATGCTACGGAAAATGTGTTTTATTAACACTTGCTTCACTGGGAAGGGAATTTAGTTCAGGGCCTTCTGGTCTTTAGCTTGATGGGGCCAGGATATGAATGTTTTATCAGAAATTTTCCAAACAGGAAGGAACTTGTCAGCCATTATCAAGCTCATCAGTGATAAAGCAGAAGAATGTGGGGGTATTTCATTTTGAGCCTTGCACCTGGAGTTTGAGAGCTCATAAACAGATGGGTTTCTTCTCATTTTGGAATCAGCAGTCCTTATGAACTTAGCTTAGGCATCCTGAACACCTGGCATAGAAACAACAGAAGTGCTAGTTCAGTGGACTTGGCTGCATCAGGATACTTTGATTTCTTTTTGGCAGGTATGTCTTTTTATTTTTGACTATTCAGTGTTTTTTAATATCTCTGACTACTCTAAAGAAACATAAGAAAAACCCAAAGGGTTCAAAACAATTTTGCATTTCTGGGAAAATAGTACTCTCAGTATTAATGTAATTGTATGCCTACAATTACAAAGTAGACCTTCATGAGACATAACAGCAGTGAAAATATATTCATATCAACTCAGAAGCTTTTTTTGTTGTTGTTCTCACTCAATGATCTCAAGTGTGAGTCTTAAGACATAGAATTGAGTTTCTGGTGGAGTTTCTGATAGAGGTGAGAATGCCCGTTCCACCTCAGTGTATTCTGTTTAGCATTGTTGTAGTTTTTACTCTCACATAATTTTAGTTCTTTATAGTTGTGACATTGCTGACACCTTCTCAAAACACCAAGAAAACTAGGGTCTAACCACATTAGGAAATAATCAGTACAGCTATGATAAAGCATGCTTTTTTTCTAGCCTTTGTGGAAAGAAATAATGAATTTTATAATTAAAGGGTACTCTACACATAAGAGTACTTAGCTGACAACACTGTAGCTGATAAAATTATGACATAAATATATCCATGCCAAATTTTTTGCTCAACCTCTAATTTGTCATGTACATTCTAATACAAATCTGATTTTATTAACTACTTCTCTCAGTACACCAAAACATATAACACTTCGCAAAGATTGTGTTGATGATTCTTTACAATTAATGAACTGTAAATCATAGCAATTATTGGATGTGTCCTGTGTACCAGGACAGCATATAGTACACCTAATATTAAAACATGACTTCCACTCATGTATCATAATCATCCATTGATGAATTAATAGCAAACATCTTTCTGAGACAAGATGTCCATTGCTAACTTTTACAGCATTTACAGCAAGTGCCCTAGAGTAGGGACAGTGTCCCTAGATGACACCTTCCAGTCCAATGTGTTCTAGAGATGTTGAGTAAGTATTGTTACCAGGAGCAACAACATTTTATATTCTTAGCAATCTGGTGTGCTACTTGACTTAAGCTATTTAAGTGGTAAGGGTTTTCCTACTCACACTGTTGCAATAAAGGTTTTCTGTGACCAGACTTCTCGCTAATAAAAAAAAAAAAAGAGGGCACTGCCAACACAGGAAAAGCCTCCATCTCCACATGAGATCACTTCCATAGAGTTTTACTTGAAATTACCAACTCCGTGGTTGACAGAGTTTCTATTTTCATGTTCATTTCAGTTGCATTGCTTTATATACATATGTATGTATATGTACATACATAAAAAGTAATTATCGCCTAAGAAGCTGAAGTTTTCGACCAGTTTCTGTCAGTTTCAGGAAGTGTGTTGCTAGAACAGAAATTGGTATTTCATTGTGGTACGTGGCAATGATACCCAGGACATAGATGTGTCCCTAAATGTACTTCCATTCTTTTACAACATATCAGGTGAAATCCTCACCCTGATAAAGTCACTGCAATTCTTGCAGTCAATCTCAGCAGATTAGTGATTGATCTACCAGACTGTATGAACCCCCTGTAATGAAATGTTTCATTAATATTTCTGGGTAGTGAACTGTATTTAAAGGGCATACATTGTAGTTTTCAAAATTAAGTTACTCAACAAATGGATCTAGTGTATTTCTGTTGGAAAAATCAGAGGTGACCAAGGTATCTTTGGAATAAGACGTATTGGAGTAAAAACGCTGTGCTAATTTATGATAAATAGACTGACTTTCAAATCATAGTAGAAGCTGCTCAACTCTTTTCAAAAGGTGTTGTAAGGCAGTCTGAGGATCTCATCTAGGTTTTATCCCTGGTGGCTGAGAGCTGGGAAACATGGAGCCAAAGGATATCTGGAGGATCAATAATCTGTAGATAGAAATCACAGAGGATGTCTGTATCAGTAAAATACAGGACATGACTTTTGTTTCCTGTTACCGAAGGTTCTTCAAAGCAGTGCTACATTTGTACATATTCCCAGATACTGCATGGGGAAAATAAAGGGGGGCTAGTAGGGAGAAACATCACAGCTGAGTTAGCGCAGCTGATTTTTTGTAATACAAGCTGAAAACCCAGGTGAAATAGTTCGGTCTTCCCAGATTATGTAAAACAAACTGTTTACTCAGTCATTAGAAGTCAGCAAACTTTTCTATCTTCTGAGTAAGGTTTGTTGTTGTTCATGAACGTATTTCAGTATGGGTGATTCAAAATAAATGCTAAAGCATGAAGTTTAGCTGTAATAATAATCTCCCACCATTTTCCTTTTTGCTTCTGTGGTTAACACCCAGTCTTCGAGCCACCACATGTTTTTTCCAAGGAGGTTTCTGTGGCCTAGTACCAGACTTTGACCTCTTGTGGGAGGATGTGGTGTTATTCCCCTGACTTGTATGGTGAACTGAACGTTTCTGCCTCCACTTCAGACACACACAACCTGTTTTGAGACAGAGAGAGACAGGAAGAAATACTAGTTAAGGGTATTTTGATTAAACAGGGCTTGAAGTTGGCATTAGAAGTCTAACAAATGTCATCCAGTTTCAGGGCATTATTACAGCCCTCAGTGAGGTCTGCTGAATTCAGGACAAAGCCTTTGTGGGAGGAATGAAAAGGCTATAAAATCAGTCTATTCACAGTTGTGAATGTATCATCAGTGGGATCTGGGAAGAGACCTCCAGGAAACATGAGATGGCAAGAAGCTCAGCTCTGTGGCGGTAGGTAAAATACTCCCTCCTGCCCATTTCCAGCACACTAAGCCACTTAACATTGCTAGCAAGAGGACAGGAATAAACAGATACAAAGCAGATGTTGTACCTGGAGCACAATTTTAAACCACTTTCCTATTTACACATCCACCAGACAGCCCTGATGAATCTGGTGGCAAATGTGAGCAGATTAAAATGTCTATTTTCAAGAGAAATCCTCCTCCTATTAAATGTGCAGGAGAATAAAAAAGTCATAATTAGAATTTGAATGAAATTAAAATGTTTCTTTTGTAAGCCTTGAAATGTAATCCAGAGCACTCCAAGACAAAACTAAAGAAACAGGTCTAGGTATAAGCGATCTGGGGAAAAGGGAAGGCAAACTTTTTGATGTAGGGTTCTCTTTCACCAGATATATTTTCTGTCATTTGTAGTTCATTGTTTTAAAATTAGGTATGTTAGCTAAAAATCAGTGAATCCAATGCCATGTCTTGTTACAGATGGTATGCAGAATCATAGAATGCTTTGGAAGGGAGCTTTAAGATAATCTAATTCCAACACTTTTGTCATGGGAGGGACACCTTCCAATAGAATCGCAGATATAAAATTGAAATAGTGGGTCCCAACACTACTGTACAGGTAAATAAGAAACAAGCTAATATTTAAACAGTTCTTAGTACACGTACCTGTCACACACAATTGTACACACAATAAATAATAAAGAAAAAGGAATGTTTCAATAGTTGTCTTCTCAGAGAGGCTGTGTGACTTCAAAGTAGAAGTTTGTATCACGCAAGGCTGAGGTGTAAGTTGAAATATGTTTGCCCATTCTTTAATTTTTTTCCTGGGAAAGACAAGAACTTTTCTGTCCTGAGTGGTTAATTAGACTTCTTTCGTGTGGTCTTAAAGAGTAAAATCTTTAAAGGCAAGTGAGTCAGTAAGTTGTCAGCAGTGCTTTGCATTGCTGATGTATAGTATCTCATGGAAAGTGATGTATGCAAGGTTGGCCATCTGCTAGAAGGAACTGCAGGACATAATGATAACTTATTTGAGGAAAAGAGAATAATCAGAACTAAAAAAAAAAAAAGGATGACCCCCCTATAGTAGTAATAAGAGCACAAGAGGTAAAAGGGCATGCATCATGTGACTGGTGACTGTTTTAATGTGATAAATCCAGGACCTTTAGCGATGTCCTTAAATTCACTGCTCTCAAATTTCAATCTTTCTGATTGTGAAAATAACCTTGAAGCACAGAATATGAATGAGTTGTGTCTCTTCAGTTTAGCTGCTCCAGACTGAAAACAAAAGGGCAATGTAACTCCAAGTACTGATCAAGCAGAAATCTTAGAAACAGGAAGAGTTACCCTCTTTTTTAATCCTCAGGCTAGCTGCTATTTCATATTTTGGAGGCCAAAATGTGATTATTCCCAGCAGAGATACAGTGAAGCTTACCAGAAGGAAGTAATGGTCTGAATCCCTCACTTGGACTTCTGTGAGGCTCTTATGTACTGATGCATATTCAATGTTTATCAATTCCAATTCTTACTTAATGCTTGATTGTCTTTACATTGTAAGTGCAATAAAAAGGAGATTCAAGTTTAAGTGACGATCAGTCCTGTCAACATTTTCAAATAATTATGATTTTCAAGCATAACAGTGATATAAATGTCTTTGCTATTTCTCACTCCTACAGACTATTGAGAGAGTCAGAAGAACACTTTTCATCAGAGCATAAAGATAATTACATCATAAAAGAAAAAGGAACTCCAAATACAAACGCTTCTGCTTGAATGTTTCTTGTCACCAGCATCTTCCTTGAAGAGCCTGTCATTTCATTTATTCAGTTTCCAAATGGATGTGTCTGTCTCTCCCCAGGCAGCAGAGAGAATTTGGAGTGAAATTCACTTTTACATGAAGATGTACCCATTACTTATGATAACTATTCAGGACCAAGTGCAAGAAATGCAGTATCTCAGAGCTGAGAGCAAGGATACAGTAGAGAATTATACTGTCCAGTAAACACTTCTCAAAAGCCTACAGGAAATACTAAACACATAGTTAATGTACATAATAGTATATGTATGTACACTTTGCTCAGCTGAGTTTTGAAAATCTACAGAGATGGACATTGTTAGTCTCTATGGGCAACTTGTTTCATTCCTTAACCAAAACTTTTTTCTTATGTTGACCTGGAGTTTTCCTTGCTGAAAAATTCTCTCATTCTTCCTCTTTCTACCACCAAAAAGACTAGCACTCTTCCAGCAGTAGGTTACTACAGCTGGATCCCTTTTAAGCTTCTTTGAGGTGAAATCACTATTATGTAAAGATTTAGTTCTATACTTATTTTGTCTATTTAATTCCTCATTTCTATGAATTTATAAAATGTTGCTTAACTAGCTTCACAAATCATGAATAAAGAAATAGGATTTCTGTCTACTGGCTTCTTACTTGAATGTGACTTCAGTTCATTTAAAACAACCTTCTATTCACCCTAATTACTGTTTTTACTGATTAGTTTTCTATCTAATAAGGAAATAAAATATTTAGTGAAATTCAGAAGTGTTTAGTATATATCATCCTTGAAAAATTAAAACTAGAAGTTAGATTGAAACTAATATTTTCTGTTTACAAATTGATTTCTTAATACAGTGTTTCATTAGGGGAACCCTGGGTTGATACTTTCCAGAATAAATTTGAGACCTTAGATTCTGTTGGACCTGTGTCAAATATGATGGAATAAATGAGCATAAAGTGAAGCCAAACCAATTTGACCATCTTTATGGCATCATTTTACCACAATGAATGTTGGTGAAAATTAGGCTCGCTATACATATGAGAAGAGCACTGCCTGAAAATGTGGTTCCTCCTCTTGATGAATAAGAGTGGAAATTAATCCTTAGAACCAACAGTGTGTCCTTTCCAGACATGGAATCTGAAGTTTTGTTGGTGAGGTAACTTTCCTCATGTGCATTAATGCCTGCTTGAGCCCATAAACTCCAGGCATGTTTTGCCCTTGTCCTGAGTTGTATACATATGAGCGTATAAATCATGCTTCTAACATCATATGTAATCTGCATGTATTATTATACCTGCTGGGTACAACAAATATAGTTCTGTTAAATTAACTCCACATAGTGCTTCTTATCATTTTCATCCTGAAAATAAAAATTTGTGTCTACAAGGAATACAAGGGCTACCATCTCTTTAAACTCCAAATTGCAGTATTTGCACTCCATGGAGATGACCATAAGGAACTGTGTGATTAAAAACATGCCATACAATCATACCACACTATTACTTCAATTTTGGTTAGGTTTTCACTTTGATCGCAGTTTTCTTTTTGTACCATATACCTGAAAAATTCCATTAGAAATGTGAATCATAAATTTAAAAAAAGCCTCCAAATGAAAGAAGAAATTAAAAAGGATCTCCTCTTCTTCTCCAGCCAAATGAAGTAGTAGATAAAACTACAGTAAACACAAACTTTGTATTTAGCTGCTTGGACTTCTTAGGCAGAAGCCTGACACTGGCAAACAGATCTATCAGTGTGTGCATTGCCTGTGTTTTATGGGACCTTATGATTTAGTGAGTAGTCTGCTAACAGCCAGTTGGCAGCAGTGAGATGGCACATGCGCAGAGAATGCTTGATGTTACAAGGATATGCCAGATTGTGATCTTACAGAGCCTGGTCATATTGTGTGTGTGTAATTATTTTACGTGTGTGGGTCTGCTGTGGAATTGAGAGGAAATCTGGGGGGCAAAAGAGCTGCATCCCTTATTTTGGTCTGCACTCTGCTCTTTTTCTTTGTCTAGGGCCACAGCCTGGGGAGTGAAGTGCTCACTACCAACTGCAGAGGAAGGTTGGTCAGGCAGCACTGAAGCAAAGTGGCCAAGCTCAGTGCCGTGGCACTGGGTGGGATGCATCCACAGGATGCCTAGGGAAGCAGACCCTCATTATGAGGCCACTGCCATCATTCAAGACAGGTGGCTTCAGTCAGGGTAGTTCCTGATTGCTGGAAAAAGACAATATGTTCAAAAAGAATGAGGAGGAGTTGGGAAGTGCCAGCTGATCAGCCTGTGCTCAGTCCCTGGAAAGATCATAGAGCAAACAAGACATTTTTGTAGGCAGAAGGTGACAGGGAATGACCAGTGTGGATTTGCAAGGAGAAAATATTGCTCTGCAAATCTACTGCCTTATATTATGGAATGACTGTTCTGGTGGATGAGGGAAGAACAGTAGGTACACCTTCAGTTTAAAATGGCTTGCGACATGGTCTTCTGTGGTATCTTTGGAATGGATGGACAGAAGCCTCAGGAAGCTCAGCAGAGTTCAAGTGCTTCATCCAGGAGTGAATGACCCCATACCAGGGTGTAGGCTGGGGACTGCCCAGCAGCAACCTCACAGGAGAGGGCCTGGGGCCTGGAGGCCACTGAGCTGAGCACAGGTCAGCAGTGTGCCTTGCTGGTACCGAAACCTAATTGCACACTGGGTTTTGTTCGCAGAGGTGGAAGCTCTTCATCCCCCCTACTTGGTATTTATGACACCCCACCTGCAGTACTGGGCCTAGTTCTGGGCTCCCCGGCAGAGGACAGCTGTTGCTGGAGGGAATGCAGCAGAGAAAGGACCACCAAGGCAGGCAAAGCGCTGCAGCCAGTGGTGCAGCAAAAATTGGGCTTCTCCAGCCAGCAGCAGAGCAGGAACAAGACAAGATCAGACATAAAAACTGGTTGTCCAGAGAGTTTGTGGGATGTCCAACTTGGACATGTTCAGAACTTGACTGTTCAAGGCCCTGAGCATCCTGGCAACTTCAGAGTCAGCCCTGGCATGAGCAGGGGTTGGGCCAGATGATCTCCAGAGACTGCTTAGAGCTCTTATTATCCCAAAATTCTATACATAGCATCTGTGAAAGAAGTACACACTGTATAGACACAAAAAATCTTCTGTTGTTGATGTTGTTGAGGAATGTCCAACTTCATGGTAGGGACAGAGCTGCACAGGGCCCTTCATCCACTAAAACTGTGCTCCTATGTGAGCAGGTATGTAAGATTAATCAATTTTAAATGTGCTTACACTATTGCTCATATATGCAGAATCTTCTCATCTTTAAATCATAAAGTCATTTTGTTCCTCACAGAAATAATGAACCACAAGAGATGCCATTAATAATGTACCCTTCTTGATGTCCTAGATTTAGAAATGGTGTGCTAAAACAATGTTTTTTATCTATCGATCATCCTTTAAGCAAGAGTTTATCATACTTCCACAAGTAGTTCATCTGCAACTCTGGCTAGTATAAAGGTGCTTCCTGTCTGCTTCTCCACAGTAAAAGTTTATTTTCATTCCACACCAGTTGGTCCATGGGGTCAGTAGATAAAAGTTCAAAGTGGCTAGGGATGACTTGTGCTGGTCTAGAAAACTGAAAGTGCTTACGCTTTTCCTTTGCCCAAACAAAGATGAGAACTTTATTTCTGAATGTGATAATATCATACAGGTAGACAGAAGGTAGACAGTCTGTGTATATATACTTCAGTATGTATCCTACCAGGAGGACCCACACTGTTGTTTACTGTCTCTCATCCAACAAAGAACTGGATAATCTGTTACGCTTCAATTGCTACTAATTAGATATCCATATTCTGATTGATTTGGTGCTATTTCTGTTCCTTATATTTTACAAAAAAATAAAATAATCCTAAATCCAATTATTTTGTATGTAACTTAATTTCCACTAATGAACAGCTGCCAAAAAGACCATTTCATCTGACTAGTGTAATAACAATTTGCTAATGGACAGTGGTATAAGTGAACTGTCCATCATAGAGCACTTTCTTAATTAAAACAAAAAATGCCAAATATTTTCCTTCTCCTGAGTTTGATCTTGCCTAAAGAAAGCTGAACATGCTTTAAAAAATCACAGTAAGTTTATACACAAGATCGTGACTGATACGTGACTCGGAAAAGGAGCCAGAAATCAAGGAATGTAACTGCTCAAAATCATCTTGATACTTCGTGCTGCCAAATTGTTTACAACAAAGAGTAAATTAGGTGATAAGGCAGTTCTCCATAGGAATGAGTGCACAAAGATTGAAAGTGACTTCTTGAAAAGTCACATAAGCCTGTGCCAGAGGACAGGATGGATACTCAGGCCAAGATCAACACAGGACTCTGCAACCACAGTGCTGTTGGGAGGCGGTGCAAGGCTCAGTCCTCCTGACCCAGCAACATGATGTCTAAATTCTTATCCTTAAAACAGCATGCAGGTCATTTGTTGTGAAATCTTGAATGGTAAGGAGAGTGTTTCAGAATGTGTTTGTTATGTATTTACCTTACAATTATTTAGTCTTAAAAAGTGGTGTTCTTTATGGCTGAACTATGGCTGCAGGGCTGATTTTATATTTTCCACATATTATTTATTTATTGCTTTAAATGCACCAGCTATGTTGCTAGAGTTTTCATGTGTATGTTCTGCTAGAAACTTGTATTTTGGAATGTTTCAAAAACAGAGGAGAGACCGATTCTTCAGAAGACAGTTCCTTCTATGCCCTGCCTGTGTTCACCTGCCCTTTGAGAAAGAGGGATACCACAGAGCTAGAAGATGGAATAGAGCAGAGGGAGTTTAAGGTGTTAGGTCAAAGTCCTTAAAAAAGAAAAGTGTGAGTTATTAGCTCTGTTAGCTTGCCTCAGGAATTGCTGTGTGCTTTTTTTTTTTTTTCTGGCTTCTGTCAATTTTTGGAGAGATGATGGTTTCCTGTGTGTTGGCAATGTGTGCCCTCCCGGTATCTTCACATCCTGTGACAGGGGCAGTTTTCAGCACTTTGCTCCCCTGCCATGTATTACTGTGCTTGCAGTATGGTCATGGCAGGTTTGTGGGCAGTCCAGTTATTGCCTGTCTTTCATAACTTCAGGTGGGACAGCACAGAAACCTCATGTGCTTTAGCTCATCCCAATATCTGCAGCACCAGCACAGTGCCCAGATAATCACTTTTATCCTTGCAGGATTTTGGCAGCTGGGTTGCTCCTGCTTTCTTTCAGAGCCCAGGAAATCCAGAATTTCTGTCCCAGACCAGGCAGAAGCAGCCATTACTGTAGCAGTGCCAGGAGCCAGATTTATATGATTGTGAAAGTGAAATTACGAAGAAAGAGTTACCGTGAAAAGAGGGAAATGGGTGTGTGCAAGTTTCTTGTCACTGATTTGTGCATGGAAGAGTTTGAACCACATCAGACCAAGCAGCAGGGTAGGTAGAGGCACAGTAGAACTGGGATGAAGGATGGCTTCTGCTTGTGAAACTGTGCTGAGTGCAGGACTGAGTGCTGGTGCGGGATTAAAGCTGGTTTAGGAGGTTGTTTAGTTCAGCATATTAGCAGCGGCACTTTTCCTGTATGTAGATCCTTTTAATAATGCCCAATATATGGCAATTTTCTCTTTCTGATGT